GGCCCCCAGGCCCCGCTGACGGCTGTGCCGGGCAGGCGAGCCCCTCCGGTTGTCACAAGGGCCTCTGCATCTGCCTCTCTTTCAGCTGTCACCCAACAAGAGTCACGTGTTCGACAGCCTGACCCTGGAGCTGCAGGACGTGGTCACCCACGCCAGGCTCACCATCAGCCCCGACGGGGGCCTCGGCCGCCTGCGTCTCAAGGGTTTCCCCAGCTCCATCTGCCTCCTGCGGCCTCGGGAGAAGCCCGTGATGAGGTTCTCGGTTAAGGCGGGGTTCAGAGCCAACCTGTGACCTCGGCGGGGCCGCGTGCCGGTCACGTAATGACTGCCACGTTCTTCTTTTGAAGTGTTTCCGACACCCGAACCTTAAGAAGCTTCTGGTAAATTTTTTAAGACCAACAGCTTTCCTGGTGATTTAATACAGGGTTCACCCTCCCCCGCCGATGGCTGCCACGCAGCAGGCCGCAGTTTAAAAGCTGGCTGTAGCCGTGAATGGCAGGTGGTCACTTAGGCTCTTTTTCTAACACTGGAAGGTGCCGGTGTTCACAGCATGGACGTTCTGTATTTAGATCCACAGGGAATGCACAGTCCATTATGTTAAAAAGTGCGTTTACGCCCACCAAGACCACCCGAGAAGCACTTTTGGGCTGGTTCCTTGCCCCAGCTCGAGGTCCCACCTGTCTATACCCAGAGCAGGGGTGGCTTTCCCAAGCACACGACCCCCGGGACTTGTCCCTCCCCAAACGAAGGCCACTCTGAGGGCTGTGGGCCCAGACGCGCGCGCTCCTGGCCTCTGGTGACTCCTGCGACCGCCCCTCCCCCGCTGGGTGTTTGATCCCATTTATAAAGGCCGATATCCCAACTGGGGGAAAGGCTCCTTAGCTCCTGGAGGACTTCGGGCCACCTGCTGAGACAAGGGCCAGAGGCTCTGGGGGGGTCGAGCACCTTCCGGAGCCCGCCCAGCCGGGGTTCGAGGTGGCTCCGAATGCCGCCCCGCCCCCACCGGTCCCGGCCCGCTTCTTCCGCAGAGGCGGGGGAGGGGTCGTGGGGGTAGTGGACGGGGTCGCGGGGGGCCTTTCCTTTCCCGAGCTCCGCTGCTCTCACCTGTCCAGCTCCACCGCCCCCTCACCTGTCCATCCCTCAGCTGTCCAGCTCCGCTGCCCCTCTCCCTGGGGGCCAGTGGCGGTCACAATGGCTGGTGGCGTCAACACGGGCGGGGCAGCCGCAGCCCGGCGGCTGCGCCCTG